CCTCAGGCCTCCTGGAAGGTGGCAATGTTTCTCCTGACCTCCCCACCTGTTCTCTTTGTCTGGAGGCAGAGCTCTGCTGTGTATGGAAAGAAGTCCTGCCGTTCAATATGTCAGCTATTTTGAGACCCTCCTCCTGCCGCACAGTATCTCCCAAGGCAATATGTGATCTCCTAGCACAGGCGACGAGTTTACAAGAACTTCCAAACAATCCCCAAACTGGAGGGTTTTTTAGAAGTCTGCAATTCATCTTAGACTAGACCTCTTCAAGCTGATGTCTTCTGGACGTGTCACATCGCCCCCAAGGACAATTGTCCATGGATGGGTAGTAGCTGGGAAGGAATGATGGCAGCTGTAGTCCTTCGTATCTGGGGAGCATCTGAGAGAACAGGAGGACAGGGCAAGTTTGGTTTAGAACCTATTTTTTGTGAGTTACAGAACAGCTGGGAGAGGTAGGTGTTCATTTTCTGCTTCTGAAAAGCTGCTGAAGGGTTCCATCAAAGGTTTTTCACTTCTTTCCCCTCCTTCTGCTGCATCTCAGACATGCCAGTGGTTGAGGGTGGGAGGTAAAATTCAGCCATATGTTCCTTAAGATATATAGAGTGATTTTAGCTCCCAGAGACATGGTTAGAAATTTGGGACAGAGTCAGCCACTTTTCCCTCTCTCTGCCTCTCTGTCTGCATTACATGTTTACACAACCTGTTCTATATACACTGTGGTATTTTTTTAAAGATCTTAACCTTCTCTGGGTTGTTTGCTCACCACCCCCACCCTCACCATGACTATCAAAATAGCATAGAGTGGACAGGAGGTTGACATCAAGGTGATTTTTGACTGCAATTCTCAGCTGCCCCTACCAGCATGGCCAATGGTCAGAAAGTCATAGATTTATAAAATCATAGAATAGTAGAGTTGGAAGGGGCCATTAAGGCTATTGGGTTTAACCCCCTGCTGTTGCAGGACACCAAGTCACACCATCCCACTCAGATGGCTGTCCAGTTTCTTTCTGAATGTCTCCAGTGTGGGAGAGCCCCCCACCTCTCTAGGCAGCTGGTTCCACTGCCATATTGCTCTGACAATGAGGAAGCTTTTCCTGATGCCCAGCCTGAATCTGGGTTGTCACAACTTGAATAGATTATTCTGTGTCCTACACTCTGACATTAGCAAGATCTTGACCTTCCTCTTTGTGACTGCCTTTGAAGTACTTATAGAGGGATGTCATGTCCCCACTCAGTCTTCTCTTCTCAAGGCTGAACATGCCCAATTCCCTCAGTCTCTCCTCATAGGGCAATGTTTGCAAACCCTGGATCATTTTTGTTGCCCTCCGCTGGACCCTTTCTAATTTACTTGCATCTTTCTTAAACCTTGGTGCCCAGAACTGGACACAGGATTCCAGGTGAGGTCTGACTAATGAGGAGTATAGAAGAACTACTACTTCTCGTGATTTGGAAGTCATACTTCTGTTAATGCATCCCAAAGCTTCCAGCATCCTGTTTTCTCCACACCCCTGGATAGAACAACCCACATTGTACATGCAGAAAATCTTTGCTGGGGACAACTCCAGTTGGTAAGAGCTCAGCTAGCAAGCCTGAGTAAGAGCTTTGCAAGCTGCCTGTGGCAGCCACTGCCCCGCGGAGAAGCAAACAGTGGATCATGCCGTGTCTTGGCCCTCTGGGCTCATCATACCTGGATGCTCCCAGCCCAGCTCCCAGGCCTATGATCAGTAAGCATTCGTGATGGAAAGCTGTCCCTGCCTTGCATTCGCTGTGTGGCCTTCTCTTCATGACTCGGCTTGGCCTGCAGAGGGACCAGAGGTCTAGATCAAAAGATGGCAGATCCCTGTGATTTGCCTGCCAGTTCTGCACCTCCAAAGAAAAAGGACACGTGGAACAAAAACCAGCCGCTGCAGCTTCTGCTTCTACCTCATTGCTACACTGTACATTGGTTTCACTGCTGGGTCAATCGTGAGATGACACCATGGGAAAAGGCAGTGACCGGATTTGGAGGATCAGTGGCTTTTCCCCACCCTTGCTCATTCCAGGTCTGTGCCTCACGGTTTGCCTAATTTCTGGCATGACTTGTAGCTTCCTGTGACGCCCGAACCCAGCAAGACGTGTCGAAAGCATCCCAGAATTCATGGCTTGCTGTAGGGTTCCAGGGTGGTCTCCGATTCATCCCCTCTGTGCACCTGTCCAGGTCTGGGTGATTCCCTTACCCTGTGCAGGTAATTAGGCAAATTGTACAACACTCACCCCACACACATGGGATGGAGGAAAAGAAGCCACCATGGTTTCTTTCCCCACTGATTGTCCAAACCCGACACTATCTGTATAAAATCAAACCCCCTTTTAAAAAGTACAATCCTATTTTGAAAAGTCAGTAGGTTGATAAACAGCATGTTCTAATCATTGTGTACAAGGTAGTTGTAATTGTGCTTTATCGTACACCTGTAATACATACAGAGACAGGGTGACAAGGGGCCAATAATGACACGGTACGTTAACGCTAAATTATGAAACCAGGTGCAGATCATTTTTTCAAGAACTGTGTAATTACTTTGGTGTCAACACAAACAATTACTATATTTTCTCTCATCAGCTCGATAATGCCAATAGGGGCAGAAGCACCTTACCCCCAGGCTTCCACCTTGGAAATGTGCTAAATATCTTATTCGGACTCACTGCAGTAGGATTTCAAGTGTAACACAAAGCACTGAAAAGGATCTGTAGGATTGCTACTTTTTTAAACTCATTCTGGTGCTCTTCATTTATTAGCAGCCTGGCTCATGGTCATTGCACAGGCTGGACCATTTGTATGGAAATAAATAGCAGAAAGAGCATTTTGTCCTGGACTCCTGTTGGTCTGCAATCTAAAAAGAGAGGGGAACCCCACAGGTGCAAACTAACTGGGAAATAAATATCCAGACAGTGAGGCATCAAGGTTTAGTTCACCAGCAACAGTTGGGAGAAATCTGGAGAAGTTCAGGAAAGACTTTACTCTCCTTGAAGTTGTAGTACCTGCCTATCCAAGCCACCCACTAGTTTCCCTGACCTGGTAGAAGTAGAAATGCTTCCAAAGTAAGATTTTATTTTCTCCATTCATATCTGACTTCTGTTTAGAAATTCCGGTGAGTGCTATAAGACAGAACACCAATGTTCAGGCTTTATTCACAATATTTAGAATTTAAAATCATCCTTAATGCAGATACTTGCCGGCATTTATTTTGCAACCCCAGGTGTCTACTCCTGTTTCAATGCAGTTGATCAATGTTTTGAAATTTGAAGTTGTAAGCCGCCCCGAGGCCTCGGCAAGGGGCGGCATAGAAATGTTTTAATAAATAAATAAATAAATAAATAAATAAATAAATAAATAAATAAATAAAAACTGCCTGGTTATTTAGTTAACTGTCCTAGGTGTGAAATGATGCTAACTGAAGCTGCATTTCTCACAGTGTATTTACCAACTGGCAATTTCAATAAGATAATTAAGACCATCAACTGCGTGAAGCTGTAATACTGCAATTGTTTCTTTTAAACATGTGTTTTGGTTGTGTATTGACACTTTTTAGAAAGCATAATATGGATAAACTTTGTATTGAAGTCCAGGCCCAGTTCAAGGTGTTGGTGATGATCTATAAAGCCCTAAACGGCTTGGGTCCTGGCTACCTGAAGGAGCACTTACATTTGTATATGGCCGCCCGCCCCCTGAGATCAACGGGAGAGGCCCTTCTCCGGGAACCCTCTGTGAAGGAAATTAGGAGGGTGAGTACTCGGAGGAGGGCTTTCTCTGTGGTGGCGCCCAATCTATGGAATGCGCTCCCCAGAGAGGTCCGCCTGGCACCATCGTTATTTGTTTTTCGGCGCCAGGCAAAGACCTTTTTATTCAAACATTATTCTAATTGTTAATATTATTTATTTATTTTATTCTTTGGCCAGGGCCACTTAATTTATACTGTTAAATTATATTGTTTTGTATTATGTTATTTATTTATGATTGTGAGCCGCCCCGAGGCTTCGGTGAATGGGGCGGCATAGAAGTTTCCTAAATAAATAAATAACTACAGGTTAGGGGACAGGTGGCTGGAGAGCAGCACTTGTGAGCAACACCTCGGGGTGCTGGTCGACAGCAGGCTAAACGTGAGCCAGCAGTGTGATGCAGTGGTCAAGAGGGCGAACGCCACCCTTGGATGCATAGCCAGAAGCATGGCTTCTAGATCGAGAGAGGTATTACTGTCACTCTATAGGACTCTGCTGAGCCCACAGCTGGGGGTGGGAGGGGGGGCAGATGGAGAGAGAGAGTCTAGTTTTGTTTAGACTTTGTGGCTGTGTGTCCCACTTTGCAGAAGGCAGTCCTCTATTCCAACTGCCACTGGAGGGCAGTCTTGTCTTTGAAGGTTGCCTTTATGTGAAGGGCTAACTGGTTTAAGTTGGGTTAAATAAAGAACCCCAAGTGTCTTCTGATGCCAAAAATCAGGGCAGCAGGCTGGGCAGACAAAGATAGCCTTCCTCCCTAGGGTCACATTCATCACCTTTTTCAATCATCCATGTCCTCTCCTTTATAGGCCAAAACATCTAAAGGGCCATAAGTTGCCCACCTGCTCCTGGAAGTCATTGATCGAGATGAACCTTGCAAAACCAAAAAATCAAAACCGTGGCTCAGTGCACACAAATCCATGGCTGCACACAGTGCAAGAACTTGGACATAGAAACACGATGGTAAGGAACCGCCTTCCCCTGGAAGTCCTGCTTCATCTCCTTCAAAGCTGGAAGTGTCGCCTGAGACAAGATGTAGTCCCTGTGGGAACTACAGGTCTCCTCTGCTTGACCTGTTCTTCCATTCTGAGCTCGGTGGGCAGAAAGGAGGCTTCCCTCACGCGTTAATATTTAAAAGTGAACCTGTATTGGGTTCAGTCGACATCCACAGATGTCTGTTTGCCTGTCACAGGAGTTTCATTTTATCTCTGCTGGGCCAAGGATGCATGCCCCCTGCCCTGCTCTCTAATCAATCATTCATCCAGGCATTTGGAGGGAAGAGATATAAATGTTCGGATGATCTCGTCAGCTGATTTTCTGAAGCTGCCAGCGCAGCAGCATTATTTGATCACCTCCTTATGCCAGCGCAATAGTTGGAAGGCAGAAATGAAGACCAGCATCGTGAGCACCTTGCTGTTCTTGCTAACATATAGCCATGCAATGGAGAGAGGTAAGGAGAAGGATGTCCAGATTTCCAGAGTACCAGCCAAAAGGTTAGCTAAATGCAGATATGGTTAGTTTGTGCTCAATGGGGGCACACATGGCTTTGACTGATTTCAGCTTTTGTTGGCTGCATACTCCTTAGTGTCGGGAGGGGGGCGGAAATGCGCTTATCAGCTGAATTTGTAAGAGTGTTTCAAAATATCTCTCTTGGTCAGTCTGTCTTTTAAAATTATTTTGAGAACTCGTGGAGGAGGAAGTGGAATTGTACATGCCTGACCTCCATATCGGAGCCAGCTCCAGAAGGTGGTAAGGTTGTGCATTTGTCCAGGTTCCAAGATGAGCAGAGGATTCTCTGTTCCAACTGCGCTGCCATTTCTGCACTGCACAGAATATCCAAGAAGATCAGATACAGCCTAAGAGAATTCTCAGTTTGCAGGTCCCATATTTCCTAGATTAGAAGAGGCTCGCTGAGGATGCTGGCTTGACAGAGGCCAAGTCCTGGAGCCAGAACTGTTCATTAAAAGATCAGAAAGAGATCTTGGCATGCATATGCAAAGACCTGTCTTCACACAGCTGAACCCTTGTTTTTTCCATGGTTTCCAGTCATGTGGAGTACCCTGTACTATACACCCGGGGGTTTTTTCAGACCTTTTAATGAACATATTGACCTAGTTTGCCTGAGATGGCTTGCTACCCATGGTGGGTTGTCACCCTTGTTTGTTTCAGGGTGATTTGCCTGTTCTCCAAACCCAGCAGGATGGCTGAAATATGGGTTGCTAAGCATGCAGAAGTCGCCCTCAAAATCTGTGACTTGCTGGTTTGTTCAACTGTGATTTGTTTGAAGCCTCATCTCCTTCCTTTCCCCTTTCTCCCTTTTATTTAACTCCCCCAGAGAGAGAATTTTTAGTTGGAAAATAGTGGGGAGCTTTAAATCCCCTCTCCCGAATTGACATAGTCCCAAATGGGGGCCACACGCACTTAATCGTGCATGCAGGCCAATCTGTGCTAGAAAGAAAAACATCATTTAGGCCCAACTGTGAGGAGCAACAAAGGAGGGTTTTTTTTCTTTTAAGTGTTAAAGAAAGAAAATAAAACTGCCAGGCACGTCAACATAAAAAGCAAGGCTAGCTCCCTCCACTTGAAACATCCGGGGCCTTACGGGGTAAAGAACATACGCCAGTTACGGAGGTGGAAGAATCTCATCATAGCAGGAATACCGTAGCGGATGCTCGGAGCGAGCGGGAGCACAAGGGGGCAAACAACCCAGGGCAAGTGAATGACCATTGGTGGGCACAGCTTGGGGGACAACAAGCCGATCTGCTGTGGCTTGTTTCCAATGCTGCTTATCCTGACCTGCAGACTGGCCCGTTGGCCTGGATCCATGACTGATGAATGATTTAGCCCATGACTTATGCATAAAGTTAGAGCCAATAAGATGAATGAGTCTCGAGTCCCATAGAGCATAATCGGCTTGCCTTACACAGGAGTAAATCTGGATCCCATGCCTGGTGTTCAGGCTTGTACAGTCATTCTCCAGATGTTTGTGCAATGCAAGGATGGCAACTTGTGATACTCCAGGTGCTGTTGGCCCGCAACTGCCACGATCCCCCACCATTGGCTGCGCAGGCTGGAGTTCTTGGGAGTTGCGGTCTAACAATATTTGGAGGGCCACAAGTTGCCTACATCTGATTTAATGTCTCTGAGAAGCAATGAAGAAGTTTAAAATCAAAATAGGCTTGTACTGTAGTGAAGTCCAAGAAAGTTTAAAGGGTTCTGTGAATTTTCCATATCTAAACCTGCATAAAATTGCACCCTACGAAGTACATCCTGTACCTATTACTATTATTATTATTATTATTATTATTATTATTATTATTATTATTCATTGTATTTCTATACCCTCCAAGATCTGGACAGTTTGCAACTGGAATAGTATCCTATGCATCTTGTTCTTCCTCACTCTCTTCCTGCTGGCCCAGATGGCATCGGATTATTTCCGCAACGGAAATGCAAAAGAGAAATCCTTCACCATTGCTAAACAGCTGCAGGAGAGCTCCTCTATTGCATTCCATTTCATCCAGCAAGGAGATCATAGAATCACAGTAATGTAGAGTTGGAAGGCGCCATGAAGGCCATCGGGTCCAACTCACTGCCGTTGCAGGACACCTTTACTCTGAAAGGGAGTGGCTGCCTTGAAGTCGCCCCGTGAGCTCCATGGCTGATGGGAAACTGAGCCCGGATCTCTACTCTCTCAGTCCAGCCCTCACATTTGTCAGGCTGGTCCCTCTCCACACAGCCCACCTCCCAGTGTATGTCTTCCTTATGGGAACTCTCTGGCATTGTCAGCCTGACAATGCATGAGTTGGTTCACCAGCAGGTGCCCAGCTGCAAGGACATCCAGCAGGTGCCTTTATTTTGGGGGCCCCCCTTGCTGGAACAAACAGCATCTCTCCAGTTATCTGGAAAACACGCTCTGTTGTGTGTGAATAGCAAAAAGGTGCCTGCACTCCTGTTGTCTCATTAGGCCCCAGAGTAATTTCATGGACAAAAAGGCAGCACGTTATACATGGTAATTAATGCTTCACTTACTTTGGTACACACAAGGTTCTGTTTTATCAAAGCTCTAATTAGATTTTCTTGATGAGAAAAACAAAACAATGCCATTTAAACAGGCGTTGCCGAGGTTATTCCAAAGCAGTGGAAAGTGGAGGCCTCTTCAACTGACTACACAAGAGGAAGAAATAAGCCTTACTCTGGCCTCCTGGAGCCTAATTCCCTCCAGAAAGGTTGGACTCCAGCTCCAGTATCCCCAGCCAACATGACTGGCCAGCAGTGCTGGGAGCTGGAGTCCATGCACCAGAAGGTCACCAGGTTGGGTAGGGGGGCTGCCTTACTCTCCCTGGTGGGCAAGGGGCCTTCCTCCACAGACCCACCACAAACCAAGATTGGACCACCAAGACACAACTGAAAGGGTGCAGGCCATTTCAGAACTCGCTGGTGAGCTGGCAGAGGCTTAGAATAGGCCAATGAGCTGTGCTTGTCTGCTCAAGGCTCTGAAGCAATTACAGAAGCTTAGGAGGGGTGAATGGAGCTTGTCTTCAGCCGCAAACCACAACTCTGAAAAAATCCCACTAGGCAAACTAAAATAGGCCCAGTGGAGGAGGTCGCAGAAGATGGCGTTCTTGGCCTGATCTTTGCTGCCTGCAAGCAGCCATAGAGAAATCTTGTAGCTACGGACTGGGTGGGGATCAGGTGACGTCAAGGAGCCAATAGGCTTCAGCCTGTTTGCATAAAGCCGTTGACTCCTGTTCGAGAGTCCCAGTCTGAGCCGTTCTTGGCTTGTTCCACCACTCCTGTCTCTGGAACATTTAGTGGCAAAGGGCAGAAGGGCTGCGTGTTTCCCCAACTCTTTCATAGCGATCACTGTTGGACCAAGCAATCTGTGTTTTATCAGTTCGGCATCTCTGGCTTGCAACAGAGGCAAACGTCTTCCAATGGCCGGGTATCACCTGGGAAGAAACTGCTCACAAGATAAAGTGACAACCACATGTTTAGTGACCTCAGAAGCAGGGAGGTGTTTTCCCTGTCCCTCAATGTTTGAGTGATAGCAGAAAAGGAGGATTTTCACATCTGCTGCTCGCAGAGTTCCCAGCAGATTTTGCAAGTTAGTCAACAAAAAACTTAAAAGCCAGTTCAAAGTTAACTTTTCTTTTCCATGGAAGCGTACGAGACTGGTTCCTTTTCATCATCCTACATGTGATCAAGATAATCTGGATACCAGCGCTGATGCAAATGTGCTCAACCTTCCGTGCTCAACCTTGGGTTGGATAGAGTCCATTCATTTCCTTTCTGTTACTGTTCTAGCTATTAACCTGCTTTTCAATGTGAAAATCAAATTTCACAAAACTGGGCTGTGGTTTTATAGTGCCTGGGAGGACATCCTAGGGGCCATAGGTCTTTTCAGATCTCCCTTTCCCAAGAGCAGGAAGAAAGATGGAGATGCAATTTTGCCTGCCCGTTGAGGATGCACTGTCCAAGCACCTTCAAAAATCTGGAACCAGATCCAGTCCCTGCAGCCTCCTGCACCGGCCACCAGCAAAAGCGGGTGAATGAACACATGTGCTGCCTTGCTTTTAGCATCCTTAATAGAAAGCCAGGATATTTTGAACAAAATAATATGTGATCAATTAAGCCTTTGGAGTAGAGACCCTCCCAAAACTGGTCCCTCAATTTGGTATAATTATTAGATCTCCTGCTCCAACTTTAATTTAGCTCCTTTAAATGCCCAAGTTGTTCAAGTTCCCCCGTGGCTACAACACCATAGCACCATGGTCATCAAACTCGGGTCCTAGGGCAATGTTGAACTGCAGATCCCACCATTCCTGCCCAGTGTTCATAAGGACATAGGATTCTGCCTTATGCTGCGTCAGAGTGTCATAGCTCAGTTGCTATTGTCACAAACTTGTTGAGGTCTTAAGCCCAGGAGATGCTGCAAATGGAACCTGGAGCATCTTCCATCCGGTGCCTGAGATCCTGCAACATCTGGAGATCCATGTTTGGCGAAGCTTCCCAGAGGTTCTACCAAAAACCTACTTATTCCCTCATTCATTTCCTACCAAGCTTCCCAAAACAGACCTGAACCTTTGAAAGCTTGTTTCTTGGAAGCAAGACACTTTCCATTTTTTAGATTAGAGGATCAGGTGCTAGCAGCCAACTCAGAGCACCATTTTAAAGTCATCTGCAAGCTTAGGCTGGATTTTGATGCAACCACAAGGGAAATTAAGGTAAAAATCACGGCCTGGTTTAATCTGATGGAAGGGGCTTAGGAAGCCCACCCAATGCTCTTCTGCAGCTCGATCAATACCACTTTGCAGGATTAGCCATTCATTAACAAGTCCTCTGGCGCTCACTGTGCCTACATGAATTGCAGCACAGCCTTCAGGGGTTTCATAACAGAGGCACAGTGTGTTATTTAATAGAGCATATACTGCTTGTGTACTTTTTTCT